CGTTAAGACTCCCAAGGATCATCTCATTTCATTTCCTCAGTTCTAGGAAGGAGGAAGGTGTCCTGTAGTACGGAAAGGTTTTTGGTATTTCAGGGATCCAAACCCATCATATAGAAAATACATTCCTATTGAGGGAGTTACAATACTTTACCTTTTTTTTTTTAGGATCAGCGCTACACCCCAATGTTTATATGAAAATACCCCTGACCACTCAGTCCCCCCCCCCCCCCCCACTCTGAGCTGAGAGCCGTGACTGTCAGTTACTGGCTGTCTGCTCTGCCCCTCCAGCACTCACTGGTGCGCTGGGCTGTGGAGGGGAGGGAGTAGCTGGCTCAGGCTTTCAGAGGATCACCGAGAGGCTGAGCCAGGTGCTGGTCTAATTTTCCATATGACCATATGGTTAGGATCTTTTCAGAGCCTGGACCAGCTCTGTGATGCCAGCTGACAGTGGGCTGAAAACAGGTCACAGGAATGCAGAACGGACTGCACTCCTGTGATCCACAGAAGTACAGTTTTAAATGGAAGCAGAATGTACTTGAGATCACACTGCATTTTCCCATCAACATGGGCCAGAGGGCTAAATCTAAAGTAAAAGCATTTTTTAATCTTTTGGGAAGAGGGTAAAGGATATAGCCTCCAATCTGCCCCCCAGCTTACTATTGCCCTTTTTCTGTGCCCTGCTTCAGAGATTCACTTCTTCTTTTGTCCAGATGAAGATTGTGTAACTGTTGCAGGTGACACCTGTACCCACTTTGGAGCAAAATCCTTTCAGGGTTATGTCCATAGGAAAGGCAGTGAAGATAAAATGCACAGGGGTTCTATCCATTCCCTTCTCTAGCCTTTCCAAAAAAAAGTCCACTTTGCAATAAAAAGGTTAACATTAGAAAACACTGGCATACAAATACCTTACACCAAAGTGTGCAGTGTGGCAGAGCTGAGTAAATCTAAGAACTGGATTGGCAGAAAGACAAATCCTTTGGCAGGTAAGCACACTTCTCTTACATGTCTGGAGTTCAGCTTATAATAACATGTAAATATTATTTATACACATATATCAGTGTATCAGTTTAGACACAGTGGTGCAAGAAATGGAGACAGTGCAGTAAGGTCACTAAGCAAACGTTTGTAAAGACAACATAATGACCTTGTATACAGCATCACATTTTACAAAAGTATTAGTTCAAATGACTGAGAGAAGGAAACATTTCTGAGGCTAAAGCAGGCCATAGATGGGTCAAAATTCGGCCGAAAATTCGTCCGAAAGAATAGTCGGCCGATTTTCGGATCGTTAGTGGGTGAATTGGTCGGCTGTTTTTCGTGATTTTGACACATTTTTTAAATTGGTCATGTTGGAAAAAAAACCGGCCGATTGTTTTCTTTCTTTTGGTGGTATTTAATAGCTAGTGGGGTTTTTATTGTTTGCACTATAGAAAAAAAAGCATAAAAATTAAAAAAAAAAAAAGTAGTTTTTCTTTGTATTATAAAATTTTGGAAACAGGTAATTTTTCTCCCTCACTGATGTGCATTGATGAGGCTGCACTGATAGGCAGCACTGATGAGGTGGCAGGGATAGGCAGCACTGATGAGGTGGCCCTTGTAGGCATTGATGAGGAGGCACTGATTATGCTGCACTGATATGCAGCAATGATGGGCACTGAAGAGAACTAATAGGTGGCACTGCTGGGTGGCGCTGATGGGCACTACTGGGTGGCCCTGATGGGCACTACTGGGTGGCCCTGATTATCAGTACAGATCTGCTCTGTGACATTTGTGTAATTGGACACAGCTGATCACGTGGTAAAAGGCCGTTGTGATTAGCCTTTTACATAGTGATCACTGTGTCCTACGGACACAGCTAATCACATGACTGACAGTGCTGGGTGCATGCTGCTGGGGGTGCGTGTTCTGGGAGGACGTCATATGACGCCCTCCCAGAACTGGACAACTGCACTGTAGCCGTCATTTGACTATAGCACAGTTGTAACTGGTTAAGACACTTTGACGAAGGGTGGGTGGATTTTGGTAAAAACAGCACCTACCCTTTTACAGGCAGGGCAATGGCACTAAGCAGAATAAATATTGGGCAAACAGAAAAATAACTTTGCGGTGTGGAGGATAATCAAAGCCACAACATCCCTCAAAAAACGTATACATAATCACTTAATCAGAGTGGGACTTTTAAGGTGCAAAATACAAGTCTAAGACCAATGATAAAATGATACAATTGTACTACAGTATATTACATATTCAGACAAATATTAAGAAACCATTTAAAAAGGAGACACGTGGGAATAGATAAAAACAAATATCTAAACTCGCCTCCATCCTACAAGATCAGTCTAATGCTGCAGCTGTCCCCCACCAACTCTAAGCCTGAGAACTAAGCGATCATTGATTCGTTTTTGGTCAGCTCTGAGCAGAGAGGGGTGACTGTCAGTCACCCCTCTCTGCTCTGCTCCTCTAGCACTCATAGGAGCACTAGGCTGGAGAGGGGGTGGGAGAAGCTGGCTCAGGCTCTCTGCGATGTGACATTGCAAGGATCCTTCAAGAGCCTGGACAGCTCTGTAAAGTCAGCCGATAGCAGGCTTCAGCCCACTGTTGGCTAATTCTGGGACACAGGAATGCCCAAGTAAGTGCACTCCTGTGACCCACAAGTGAAGTATGACCAAAAAAAAAAAAAAAAAAAAAAAAGCTTTGGTCATACTCAGTGGCGCCCCGAGGCAGGTGACGGGGTTGCAGTCCGCACACCGGGCGACACCGACCGCACGGGGTGACACCGGACCTGCTCCACAAAAAGGGAAGTTTTAAAGCAAGGTGACGATCCCCACAGGATGGATCCGATCCATCCTGTGGGGATTGTCGGCTTACTTTACAACTCACCTTTTCTTGGAGCGGGTCCGGTGTCACCCCATATAGGTTGCATGCCGATGATCCTGCGGGGATTGTCGGCATGCAACCTATACAGGGTGACACCGGTGTAGCGGCAAGATGTGTCTCCCATGTAGATATGTCCCCCCTGAAGCAAATTGGCATGGAATGGAAGGGGTTACTTCACCAAAGGTACATGGTTGGATACAGTAGTTCTATCATCGATTGATCGCGCCTGAAACCGGGACATGCGCAGTTGCTTCAGGGGGGACATATCTACATGGGAGACACATCTTGCCGCTACACCGGACCCGCTCCAAGAAAAGGTAAGTTGTAAGGAAAGCCGACGATCCCCGCAGGATGGATCGGATCTGCGGATTGAGCATAATGGAACGGAGTCTGATCCATTATGCTCAATCCGCAGATCTGATCCATTCTGCGGGGATCGTCGGAGGGGGTGTCACCAAGTGTTACCACACCAGGTGATACCAACCCTAGGGACGCCTCTGGTTGTACTTATCTTTTTAAAAAATATTTTTTTTTGCAATTCCACACCAAAGTTTGGTATGAAGTTGCATGACATTTTTTAGTAGTGGGAAATAGCTTTTCAAGCACATGGCATGATCACCCTGTGTTTGTGTGGCCTCATACAGGTGTTCCAGTCTCCTCCCATAATGCATAGACATATTGGTGGGTTAACTGAGATCTAACCAAACTGGCACTAAAGAATTAATGGATCTGAGTGATCCAAAAGGCGTGTTGACCCTTTTGGGTCTCAGCAAGGAGGTGAGGGGGGCGTGCCTGCCATCTAAGGATATATGCTCACCACTTACACCAGCACTATAGCACGTGGTTTGAAGATATAGGCACATTTTGGCAGTAATTGCCATCTTTGCTATTCCTGGCAATTTGTTGGACACTTTTTATCGTTTTATGTGTTTATGAAGTTTATGTTTATATATTGTGCTTAACATTATTCACTAGTCACTTTATTTGGTTTATATCACAATTTTGGGATACACTTTATATATCATTCACTTTGTTTGTGATCATATCCCTTATTTTGGGATCCACTGTATATAGCAACTAGTCTTTTGGGGTTTGGTCCCAAGTGGGACTGGGTATTGTCACTGTATGACGGTGTGGGCATAGGACCAGCTTCATCATATGCACTTTGTGTACTGATAATATCACAGTTTGAGACACTGTTTTTCTAGATCTTGAAAGATCTATCACTTATATATTTATATTCATTCATTTATGTGATTTATGTTTTTTATCTTATTATTGTGGCGTTTGCACATCAGTGCTACACCACTATTATATTTTATTACTTAAGTGATTTGGCAACTGGCCACATGCCACAATGAACTATGGGGTTTTACCTTCCATCAAACTGCAAGTGTAAACAAGCCTTTACTGTCCTGAGCCCCTTACAGGGCTGCTTTCATACTGATGCACTGCGGCTTTCCTGCAGGCTAGCTGCACTGAGCCATAGACATCTATTACATCTTGCAAGTGTGGTGCACTCTCTGAAAGCGCACTAAAACTCCTTCATTCAGGAGTTTTGGTACTTTCATTTATCAAGTTTCTCCTTGGCCTCCTTGATCGGTACAAGTGAATAATCCCACAGGTTTGTTAATCTCTCACTATGTCTGAGTTCCTTCCCCCTTACCCAGATCTGGCATGAAACAGCAATGTTCCTGAACCTCTTTCTCCATGATAACGTTCTCAAGTGGCCTGACTATGATCTATCACAAAGCAGTGATCAAGCAAAGTACTGGCCAGTACAGGCATTTACAGTGTCAGAACATCACATGGTACCAGGTGAATAAGGCTACATGGGAAAGAACCAACCAGACACAAGTGGGCTAAGGCTCTAAATGCAGATGTAGTGCAAGTTATCTTATATCTTGCCTATTCATTATGTCAATACTTCTATATAACCACTACATTTTAAAAAGGTAATTAGGCACTTATATCATGTTTGAAAAAACAACAGTCCCCTTTAAAGTGATGAAGCCTTCATTCTTCAAGAACAGGTGAAACTGCATCAGCTGGCTTTATTGGTTTCTAATAAACTGACAGGCTGAGTACTGGTCCAGCCCTAAGGATTGGTACCAAAATCTTTTTCATACTTGTTCAAAATTCAGTAAACCCCCCTCATTTTGAAGAAAGAGTTTCAACGACTCCATTTTTATTGCTTTTAAGTCCATCTCATATGGGTTCCATGTGCTGTATCCCTGGTCTGCAAGTTGTACAGAATGCCTATCAGGCAGACTTGTATCAGGGTCCACTGCAGGGGTAATTAACTGTCCATCAAGGAAAATTTCATGGAGCTGATCACCAGCTTTAACTGGCTGATCTCTAGCCATATCAAAGATAGGGTCCACTAAATCTTGACCTGAAGCATCCATAAATTCCATGGCAGAAAACATATTTGGATCTTCCAAGGAATTCTGGAAAAATCTCTCTTGGGCTTCCCTGAGCTGTTCTATAGACAGGACACCATGGTCAGATTGGATAGATACTTCTTGCCTCAGTAGACCTTTATTGAGTTCTCCCAGTAATGGATCTTCTCCTATCAAGCGTGGTTCCTGAATGCAGACTACTGCTGATGTTACTTCTGGAAGTAATGGTTGTACAACTGACACCAATGGATCTGTATCAGACAGGTAAGGTTCAACTTGGGTGCTTGAAGCTCCAATCACAATTGTGGGATCTAAAACCTTGACTGAATCTGGCTTCGAGATAAGTGGTTCCACCACATAGACTGAAGTTTCAGGGAAACGTATCCTTGGGCAGACTTTGCGGGTGATGTTATCATCCATATCCTCTTCCTCCTCTGTGTCTTCTATGTCCTCAACTGGTATCAACAAACACTCTTTCTCAAACCAACCCAAGTTACATTTCTGCCATTCGCTGCACCTCCCTATCGCCTTTACTAAACGTCGGTAGCTTGGATGTTCTTCATGGCTGACAGTTAGCTGTACATGTGGTTGGTGCTGCTCCTGTCTCTGTATCCGGAAGAAAAGTTCTTGCAGATTTTCAGTCAATGAATATTTTGGGCAGATTTCCAGCAGTGAGGGTATGTCTGCTGGAGTGGAGATGCTGCTGAAATATGCTACCACATAATGACCATAGGGCATTGTTTTCTGGAAGTCTGGGAGAATGAGTGATAGTGTAGGGGTAAAGAGGTCCTCTATTGGATGTTCTCGGTCTTCCCTCAAAGTCATCTTTTGCTTCTTAACATTCTGCATCGCCTTCCACTTCTCTTGCACCCCTCTGGAACAAAGGATTAGAATTGTCCCATTTGTTTTCTTTATTTCATCTTTTTGGCGGTCCAACCAAGCCATGGGAGTTATGGCGCTCATTTCTAGAACATGAAAGCGGTCTAGCACCACATCCATGCCCCACGCTGACCGCATAAAATCGGCCAACCTTATCACCACTTTAATATAGTGTCCATGATCTGCAGAGTACACCAACCACACCTTCTTTCTGGTTGGAGTTCCTTCCCCCTTACCGGGAGATCCCAGTGGACTTGGTGTGACTTTCTCTGCAGAGGAAAAAAAAAAAAAAAAAAAAAAAAAGAAAAGAGTATCAGCAAAAGTGAAAGAATAGAAGATGGACTTACCTGAAAGACTACCAATCTAGATTTAGAATTGACCCAAAAGTATGTAGACACCTGATCATTACACATCTATGATCTTCTTGGACATCCAAGTCCAAAACCATGGGCATTAATATGGACATGCACCCTTGGGGTTAAAACAGTCTCCGCTCTTTCAGGAAGGCTTTCCACAAGATTTTTAAGTGTGTGGGAAATTTGTGCCCTTTCATGAGGCCAAGTACTGATTGATGATGGATAAGAAGACCTGGCTCACAATCAAGGTGTTCAGTAGGGTTGATATTAGGGCTCTGTGCAGGCCACTCAAGTTCATCTACACCAAACTGGTCAGCCCATGACTATAGTGAGATGGCTTTGGGTCCCATAACTCAATAATTTGGAGGTCTGTCTAAATAAATGTTACCGTTTTGTGTACCCAAAAGAAACCTAAAGTCTATATGAATATATTTCCCCTGCATTTTGTTTTTCAAAGCATTACATTTTTCTGTACTTGCAGGGTCTTTAAAAGGATAAAATACAGTGCCTTGAAAAAGTATTCATACTCCTTGAAATTTTCCAGATTTTGTCATATTACAGCCAAAAATGTAAATGTATTTTATTGGGAGTTTATGTGTAAGACCAAATGTTTATGTGTAAGGAAAATGTTAAATGGTTTTCAACATTTTTTACAAATAAATATCTGAAAAGTGTACCATGCATTTGTATTCAGCCCCCTTTACTCTGATACCCCTAACTAAAATCTAATGGAACCAATTGCCTTCATAACCTGTGTGCAATTTAATCTCAGTATAAATACAGCTGTTCTGTGAAGCCCTCAGAGGTTTGTTAGAGAACATTAGTGAACAAACAGCATCATGAAGGCCAAGGAACACACAAGACAGGACAGGGATAAAGTTGTGGAGAAGTTTAAAGCAGGGTTAGGGTATACAAAAATATCCCAATCTTTGAACATCGCAAGGATCACTGTTCAATCCATCATCCAAAAATGTAAAGCGTATGGCACAACTGCAAACCTACCAAGACATGGCTGTCCACCTAAACTGACAGGCTGGGCAAGGCGAGCATTAATCAGAGCAGCCAAGAGGCCCATGGTAACTCTGGAGGAGCTGCAGAGATCCACAGTCCCCTACAATGATCTTTTGTTTTTTCTGTATATTTAAAGTGGATCTCCACCTCTCTGGGGTTGCCTAACCCTAATGTTTGGGTTTTAGATAGATGTTTGGCAATGTATTTTTGCAATGTCACACTCATTCTGTCCCACATGCTCACCACAATTACCTGAAAGGTTGAAGCAATCTGAAAGAGAAAAAAAAAAAAAAAAAACATTAATACTCATTACTTGAGAAAAAAAAAAAGTGTCCCTCTATTTTTCTGCATTCTGAGTCACACTGTGCCCACGGAGCTGGATTTGGCACTAGGAACAGTGACTCACAATCCGCAGAACACCCACAACAAAATCAGAGAAGAATGGAACAGATGTGAACACCACCATCCACTGAGAACCGCAAATTATACTTAAAGCTAAACTCCAGTTAGAATTTTAATGCATCTTTTTAAAAGCAACCCCCTACTGTAGCTGACTCCAGCACTGCCAGAATCAGTCACCCTAAAAGAGGCAACATCCGCAGGCCTTGATTGATTTATCTTTCAGTTCATAAATCTGAACCCAACTATTCTCTCCCCTTCACTCAGGCTACCATCATGTTAACATCCTTGTATAATCTTTGCAGGGGTAAATGTGTATGGTAGATCTGTTTTTTGCTGCCCTTCTTCCCCCCTCTTGGTCTGTCCAGTCCATGCACATCCTTACCTCTTGATGTATAGCATATGAACATGGCGGGTAAATGATGGAAACGTGCAGGTATGTGGACAGTTACTTGAGAGCAAAGAACTGCCCAGTCACTGGCCACAGCTCTCACTACAGTTCCCGAGAATCATGGGAAACATAGTTCTGTGAGCCACAGCTAGATCTGGGGGGTGTGGGGTCTCTTTGTAGTCTACAAAACAGCTCTGGTTTGCCTCCCTAGTACTGCAAGTCTTATCTCTCAGCCCTCAATTCCCTCTTGTATTGAACTGTATTGTTACTGTATTGTCTCCCACTATAATGTAAAGCACTGAACAAACCGTTGGCGCTATATAAATCCTGTATAATAATCTCTATATTTGGGAGTTGCATCTCTTTGGTATGGGGAGTCGCATCTCTTTGGTATGGGGAGTCGCATCTCTTTGGTATGGGGAGTCGCATCTCTTTGGTATGGGGAGTCGCATCTCTTTGGTATGGGGAGTCGCATCTCTTTGGTATGGGGAGTCGCATCTCTTTGGTATGGGGAGTCGCATCTCTTTGGTATGGGGGAGTCGCATCTCTTTGGTATTGGGAGTCGCATCTCTTTGGTATTGGGAGTCGCATCTCTTTGGTATTGGGAGTCGCATCCCTTTGGTATTGGGAGTCACATCTCTTTGGTACTGTTAATCTCATCTCTTTGGTATTTTATGGGGTGGATTTACTAAAGGCAGTTGCACTCATTTTCCCCAGAGCTTAGTAAATGTAGTAAAGCTCTGCTGATTTCCATCATCCAATGATCTGCAAGCAAAATAAGATTGCTTTTTGTTTTTCTTGCACCTGCTTGGGTATTCTTTACAAAATGAAGCTTCACCACATTCACTAAGCTATGGAGAAAATTTATGTGACTGCACTTGCAAAGTGCACAGTTTATTTGCCTTTAGTAAATCCACCCCTGTGTCTTAGTGCCTTAGTATTTTGTGTCATGCCTCTTTAGTATCGTCAGTCCCATCACTTTAGTGTTGGGAGTCTCATCACATTAGTGTTGGGAGTCTCATCTCTTTGGTACTGGGAGTCTCATCTCTTTGGTACTGGGAGTCTCATCTCTTTGGTACTGGGAGTCTCATCTCTTTGGTACTGGGAGTCTCATCTCTTTGGTATTGGGAGTCTCATCTCTTTGGTACTGGGAGTCTCATCTCTTTTTATTGGGAATCTCATATCTTTCATATGCTCGGTCTCATCTTTTTAGTATGTTGGGTCTCATATTTTTAGTATGTTGGGTCTCATCTTGTTAGTATGTTGGGTCTCATCTTGTTAGTATGTTGGGTCTCATCTTGTTAGTATGTTGGGTCTCATCTTGTTAGTATGTTGGGTCTCATCTTGTTAGTATGTTGGGTCTCATCTTGTTTTATGTTGGGTCTATAGTTGTTGGGTCTCATCTTTTTAGTATGTTGGGTCTCATCTTTTTAGTATGTTGGGTCTCATCTTTTTAGTATGTTGGGTCTCATCTTTTTAGTATGTTGGGTCTCATCTCTTTTGGTATGTTGTTTCTCATCTCTTTGGTACTGGAAGTCTAATCTCTTTAGTATTGTGTGCGCCATCTGTTTAGTATTGGGAGCCTCAGCTCTTTAGGTTTTTAGTCTCAAGCCTCTAGTTTAGCTCCGATTATGCAGAAACAGAAACACTTTTTAGTAGAGTTAGGAAGGGTTTTTGTTTCTGCCTGGGATTTCCCCTCCCAGTCAACCCCATTTGTCTCATTTCTTGCCCTCGTGTCAGTGCGACAGGAAGTGAGGGCGATTTCTCTAACTGGCACACAGACAATAACAAAAGTCTGACACCGGCCCTAACCCTTCCATGCTCCACAAAAAAGTAACAAGTTTATTTTGTGAATGCTTTAAACAAAGTTGAGGCAGCATAGCCTGCAACATACCATACAAGTACAAGGAATTTTTTCTGTTTATTTTGACAGACTCCCAAATGGAAATTAGAACAGACCCACGCATTCTCAGTCCTGTGTCAGTTTACCATTTCCCCGACAATGCCTTCATCTGCTTTTCTCTCCAGGCGCCATTTTTGCTCAAGCATCATCCACCATCTACTTCCTGGGTGAGATGCCGGCTCACAGAGGACACATCATGTAAATCCTGGTGTCTGTACAGTAGGTCAGGCCCTGCTGCAGCCTCTTACTTTGTGACTTCTAATGTTACAATCAGATAAATGGGGGGCTGCAGCAGACTGATGACATCATCTCAGCCCAGGCAAAATCACTAACTGGAGATCAAAATGACTTTTAAAAGACAAAAGGTGGAGTTTTTCTGAAAAATGATACTGCTGCTGTATATTGTGACATGTCAGAATTTTAGATTTGTAAAATTACTGATGCTTACAAACTTTGAGCTGACTCTACATGTAACAATTTGATTGTACGATCCTCTTTTGATTTATGCTGTCCATACACGTATAGATTTTCATACAAATATTTTCATTTAGAGAATGTTCATTCAATTCTAATATTGAATGTTAAAGGCATATGAAATTCTCCAACGACATTCGTCCAGTCATCAAAAGTAAAAAGATTTTTGTACAAATGTTTGTATGAATATAATGTGGTCCTCACATTATATAGTTTTAGTAAACATACAGAATAACCAGACTGTTATATATATGGCCAACTGCACCAACATCCCAGATACAACCATACAGACACCTGAATACTGGTCCTTACCTTTAGCTCGTAATGCCAGGATAATACCGACAAACAATATAATGGTCGGCAGGATGGCCACAGACCACAAGTACCAACGTTCTACTGGATCTATAGGTTCACCAGAAAGAATAGAAATTACTTGGAGCATTAAAAAGGATTCTAGAATTTATGTATAGTAATCAGGTAAGGAAAGCTGTTATAGGCATGGTGGATTTGTCCTTTGGATAGAGGACAAATCCTGTGAGTAGAAAGGCATGATTCCTTCTGAACTCAAAGTGGTTGCCAAGGACCGCACAACCAGGGAGACAGTCTGCTCCTAGAATATGTAGCAGGTCAAGCAAACTGCATGTGTGTGAGATGCAGACTTGTGGTATGCACTTTAGTATATAGAAAGAAAAGTGAGCGCCTGGAGTAAGTATGAAAGAGCGGCTATGCACACAAATGGGTACCAATAACACCATAAAATATGAATATCTAAAATAAAATCGTGCAGCACTAAGAAAAGGGTTCAAGTTTAGTGTCCGATAAGGCAATAAATCAACTCATATATATCCTAATTAAAGGGAGTGTAATAAAAAAATAAATTAAAATATAAATATATATAGATCAATGATCAAATAAATATATATAAAAAGTTCCAATCAAGTGACTGTGGTAAATCTTGATCCGGAAAAAGTGCTATAGTGGTGCAGGTAATACGCACTCACCGGATGTGCATATTAATTGCGCCTTATACAAGTAAATCCAGATGTCATCTGATGGGGCCTGAAGCTCAAGGAATCTTGCACATTTGGATAGGCACAGACCTCATGCACACTTTTAGGGGAGCTGGATCCACAGTGCTGGAAGCCTTCAGAACCATCCATAGGACAATCTTGGACGGACGTATAAAGAATCTGACGATCAAACCAGCTTTTGCCTCAATCCTGCAACTTTTATTTTATTCCCTAACTGGATTTCTCAAGGTGTTTGCAAGAAGTTAGATTCCCTATGAAATTGTTATTGCGATCTGTGTTTCCCCTGGGGAGATTCACCTTCTATGTCCTGGTAACATACTATACTTGGAGAAGAGCCTGAGTGGGAATACTAAATCCTGAAAAGTGGTTTTGGAGTGCTGTGGTGCCTGGAGGAACTGTGAGAGGGATCCATTACTGCTCTTTGACCCGCAAGGGTCGAAGTGATGAGGTGAGAGGCTAATCCAGAAGGTGGTTGGATTCATAAGCTCTATCTACACCCAGATATCTGCACGATTTGTTTCACTTGTGGTCACCTTACAGTATTATTGGAAACACCGTTTACAGTTTTGTTCACCTTCAACATTTCATTATTGGACTTTGAGTTTGCGTTTATTATTTAGTCATCATTTCACTTCACATTGTGCACGTGTGATGTAATATATGTATGTGTATTTCTCATGCACATACGTATAGATTTAAGTTTGTGCTTTTTCATTAGTTTGGGTGGTTTATTTGGTAATTTTGTTATCATTAAGCACATATTATTTATTTTCATTATTATTGTCACTATTTTTGATTTGAGTTATTGGATTCCACATTCACTTAAATAAGTTTGAATGTAGCGCAGCATTTATATGGTTTATATTTACTTGATCACTGGTATATGATTTAATGCTAGCAGCTGTTTGGGGTTCATATATTAATTTAGTTTGTTTTAAACACACATTTGGAGCGCAGGAGGGTCACACCACTATTGCCCTTGGCCAGCAGTCTGAATTTAGAAATCAGCACTACCACTGAAAAAAGGCTCCCCCTATTGATAGGATAACAGATACGGCCTTGCGAGGTGTGCACACGCACACACAATATACAATATTTATACACAATACAAAAATTTCTGCATATGTTCTTTGCAGTTATAGTGTCCCTGTCATATATATATATATATATATATATATATATATATATATATATATATATATATATACACACACACATATACATATACATACATACATACATATACACACACATACACACACACACACACACACACACACACACACACACACACAATATATATTGTATTTAAATATTTTTTTCTTTAAACAAGCAATAAATATAAGTCACCTGGAGGGGGTGGTGTTTCCGTGGCACAAAAGGAGGTACATGGTACAGACGTACGCAGTCAGTAGCACACGATGGCATGTAAGGCCACACCTACAACCAGAGAGACATGGGAATGAAATCTACGCTATTTTAAAGAGCACCAGTCATTTCAGCAATACAGAGGATCAGCTATTTAAGAATTACAGAGGACCTGTCATTCCAGAAATAACATTTATCTATTTGATGCAATTTCTGAAATGTTATAATGTGTTTTACTGACCACAATAGACTATTTTTTAGTGCCTGGATTCTCCTCGACTCAGGCCAATAAGCTACAGCTAATCCTCTCCATTCTTCCCTCTCCTAAATCTCCTCCCTTGGTCGGAGCAAGCTATGTAATTGGGGGTAAGTTGAGATCTAGGTGGGAGAAGAAGCCGTCCTGACATCCTCCTTCCCTTCCTAGCATTCCTCAATTTGTCAAGTAATAAAGAACAGGATAGGCAGAAGAGGCCGTCGCTTTAGGCGCTTCTCCAGGAAGGAGGTGCAGAAGGCAGGATCTGCAACTTATGCTACTGAAGTAGTACACAGCACATGGGAATGGGAGCACACTTTAGACTTTTCACCTTGAGTACTAAAGGATCTTGTCCCATTCATTAACAATGAAGGCTAACTGCATCACTATACTGCAAATGCTACATTTAATAGCTGCGAAATGTTATGTTATTATTATACACTGGGTATAGAAAAGATTCACCCCCCCCCTTTAAAATCATCACTTTTGTTGCCTTGCAGCCTGAAATGAAGACATTTGTTTTATCCAGCTGTATTTACTCATTACGGACTTATAACATCCAAGTGAAAGATATAACACCAACATGTCAGAACAAAAATCAAAATCAAAAACAGAATCACCGAGTTGGAAAAAGGATCACCCCCTTGTGTCAGTATTTTGTTGAACCACCTTTTGCTTTAATTCCAGCCTTTAGTCTGTTGGGAGATGTCTCTACTAATTTTGCACATCTTTGCACATATTTGCTCACTCTTGTTTGCAGAACTGCTCAAGTTCAGTTAAATTTGATGGTGACCATTTGTGGACTGCAGTCTTCAAGTCATTACACAGATTTCAATGGGGTTTAAGTCTGGGCTCTGACTAGGCCATGAGAGGACATTCACCTTTTTCTCCTTCAACCATTGTGTGGTCATTTTTGCTGTGTGCTTTGGGTCATTGTCATGTTAGAAAATACTCCTTCTTCCCATTGACAACTTTCTGGCAGAGGGAAGCAGATTTCTCAAGAATTTGATGGTAACTTGCCCCATCCATTTTTCTTCTAACCTGACAAGTGCTCCAGTCCCTGCTGCAGAGAACCCCCCCATAACAGGATATTACCACCTCCATGCTTTACTGTAGGAATGGTGTTACTTGGATGGTGAGCTGCATTGGATTTCCACCAGAAATATCGTTTAGTGTTGACTAATGCAGGCCATAGACAGGTCAAAAATCGTCCGTTTTAAAAAAAAAATGAAAAATCGGTGTTTCAATCGGCCGATATTACCACCAACGGTAAAAAAAAAAAAAATTAAAATAAATAAATCGGCCGATTTTCATCCCATCTACAGCCGGCATTTTTACTTCTGTCCCTTGCAGAGAGCTCCGCTATTATATTTTACATGAAAATGTCTTGCGGTTGCAACAATGTATCCATTTCGGATACAGATGTTTTTATTCAGATACAAATAAATACATTTGTTGCAACCGCAAGACTTTTCATATAAAATATAATAGCGGACTGGAATTCTTCTTTTTTCTTTTTCTTCTGATTTTCAACCCGTCTATGGCCTGCATAAATCATTAACTTTAGTCTCATCTGATCATAACACCTTTTTCCATGTGGCCTCAGAATCTTCAAGGTGCGTTTTGGCAATGCTCAGTGGTGACTGCATGTGGCCTTTCTTGAGGAGTGTCTTTTTTCTTGCAACCCTCCCATACACACCACATTGGTGGAGAGTTTGTGATATCATTGTCACATGCAGACAATGATCACTCTTTGTCATAAATTCCTGCAACTGCTTCAGAGTTGCTGTAGGCCTCTTGGTAGCCTCTCTGACCACTTTCCTCCTGGCTCTTTCATCCAGTTTGGAGCGAGGTCCTGATCCAGGGAGGGTCTGTGTTGTACCATATACCTTCCACTTCTTAATAATAAACTTCACTGTGCTAGGCATTGGTTTTGTGTCCATCTCCTGAATTGTGCCTGTCCACAACTTTATCCCAGAAATCTTTTGGCAGTGCCTGGCCACCCATAGTTGATTGTTTGCTTCGGTTGGACTACCAGGGACTGAAATGCTCCAGGAAAGCTTTTCATGCTCAGCTAATCAAAATGAACACAGCTGATCACAGTTGAAAATCAAACAGCTTGGTGTGCCATTGAGAAAATGATTAGCTATGCCTGATGGGGTTTACAAGTCATTTCTAGGAGGGGTGTGATCCCTTTTCCAACTCAGTGATTCTGTTTTTAAATTTTTTAAAAAACGTTTATGACATGTTGGTGTTATACAGTATCTTTCACCTGGATGTTATAAGTTGCACTGATTAAATACAGCTGAATAAAACGAAAACTGTGTCTGTCTTGATTTCAGGCTGTAAAGCAACAAAATGTGACTATTTTAAAGGGGGTGATTGTCTATACCCACTGTACTTTAAACGATGAATTAAAGCCCAAAACCAGAGAAAACTTTTTTGCACCTGTGGTGAGGCAAGGCTGTAGCAGACTTTGATTACTGAGGTGTTTGTTTGCCATTGGCATCTCTCAATGGCAGATCATAAGGCCTCCCTGAGAGTCTTTCTAACTCTTGGGGAATCTGTGGTGAGTTTCAGCTCTGCACACCTGCCTTGCCCATTATGAGGGTCTCCCATCATTCCTGTGCCAAGTTCCCAGTTCTGCACACCTGCTGTGCTCCTTATGAAGGGTTCCCATCATCCCTGCTGGATTATTTATTTTATGTTATGGAAAATTAAAACCGGAGTTGCTGGAACACAAAAAGGTTGTCAGAAACATCCAAAAATCACAAGGTGTGCAGTAACAGAGTCAGAAATTATGTCAGAGAGGTCTCATTGTTGGATTTTAAGACATAAGAAGTCAGGAACTACCAGACTCTGAACATCAATTTCACTCAATCTTAAAAGTAAACATGTATACCAAGATAAGTGCATTACCGAAATGTTGTACACACATTCCTTATCTATGTGACCCCCAATATGAGGGAAAGTAACTTGAACGCGCTGAATAGGTGGGCCCTATAGGAAGAGAAGATAATATTATAATGGATTTTCAGAGGCATTTAAAATGCTGAACATGAATGAAAACTTTTTTTTTTAATTATCATTTGCATAAAGATATATTACAGTATGCAGTAATAAATGATCAGAGGTGGGTGTAGCAAATAAATTATAGGGACATCTTCCAACACACAGCCAGCTTCCCGTCCACTTCTTCCACACAGGAACTTACCCAATTTAACCCTTAAGGGGAACCTCAGGATCGGCACAAGCATGGGTTAGCATTTATCACAGTTAGAATAAGGGTTGTAGCTGGTGTTAGGGTTAGATATAGTGTTAGAGCTGGTGGTAGGGTTACAGTTAGGATTATAGCTGGTGGTAGACTAAGAATTAGGGCTATAGCGGTGTTTGGGTTAGAATTAGGGATGGTGTTAGGGTTAGAATTAGGGATGGTGTTAGAGTTAGATATAGTGATATAGCTGGTAGTAGACTAAGAATTAGGGCTATAGCTGGTGTTTGGGTTAGAATTAGGGATGGTGTTAGTATTAGAATTAGGGATGGTTTTAGGGTTAGATATAGTGATATAGCTGGTGTTAGGGTTAGAATTAGGGATGGTGTTAGGGTTAGATATAATATAGCTGGTGGTAGACTAAGAATTAGGGCTATAGCTGGTGTTAGGGTTAGAATTAGGGATGGTGTTTTAGGGTTAGATATAGTGATACAGCTGGTGGTAGACTAAGAATTAGGGCTATAGCTGGTGTTAGGGTTAGAATTAGGGATGGTGTTAGGGTTAGATATAGTGATATAGCTGGTGGTAGACTAAGAATTAGGGCTATAGCTGGTGTTAGGGTTAGAATTAGGGATGGTGTTAGGGTTAGATATAGCTGGTGGTAGACTAAGAATTAGGGCTATAGCTGGTGTTAGGGTTAGAGGTTAAAAGGAATTAAAGACCTTGGTACTTGGCCCTCTTGATCGAAACAGGCAGGGGTTGGAGTTAGAATCCAAGACCATGGTTTGTCAGGGGAATCATAGATTTTTGTATTCCGTGTTTTTTTATAGATTCCTGAATACCAACACATACACTGCCCGAGGTTTAACAAAGAACTAGTGAGTATGAAAATGTTCTATTCCGTTACACACCTAACTCGATAAACAGCGTACAACATATCTGCTGGTTTTAGATGAATTATAATTAAAATACCAAAATCTTTGATTCCCCTATGAACACCAACTTCAAAACACCCACCCTAGCTGCAGTTGCCAACTTGTTTTTGAAGGTGAATGATCCATGGCTGTCATCTTCATCCTTGCTAAACTATGCAGGGAGTCACTGACCAAGAAAAAGCAGGCAAAACAGTGAAGTGTTGAGACACTCAGCCAGCATACTTATTTCAGGTCAGTGATTCTTTAGATGGAGACTCAAGGATCTGGAAGACAGCTAGAATCTGCAAACAAAATAAATCAGCTGAAGGCAAATGTGACGATGAACTGGTAGATTCTCTTTATCAATCCTTCAACCTAAATTGACCACCAGTACAGAACAGGCTGCAGATCCAGTACTTTATTGATTACCTCTTGGAGAATAACATGGATAAATGTGTTATCTGGTGAATCTCTGACTTTCACTTGTACTCCATATTCTTTGGCATTCCATCGTGAGCTGAATTCGACAATTAGATTTTCCTCTTGGTGTTTTATAGTAATATTTGGAAACCAACAAAATCCTGAAAAAAAAAAAAAAAGAAGATTGCACCTTTTTAAAAAAAAATCGGTTTGAGAGGTTTCCACCGGACCAACAAAGACCTACTGATAAAGGGATTAATGACCTGTTGATCGGTCACTAATAAATAATTTTTCCGCTTCCTGTGACAGGCCAAGCTGTTCAGCAAATGTGACTCTAAATGTGACTCAGGAGAAACCATAAAACACTACTGGGAGTGCGTAAAAACTTTTATTCAAATGGTTTAAACCTTTTTTTCAAAAGAAAAAAAAATGTTGCTGTAACTGTTTGAAAAGTGTTAGCCAGAGTTAAGCTTTAATTTGCTATTCAAATAAAGTCTGATTAACATGATGTGTTCAGGGACCCATGGCATCAAACTCCGGGTATACCCCCTTTAGCCCTTGTCTATGTGGTTGCTACAATGCTAGTTGCCCCAATGAACTATTATCTATTTAGACAAGGAATGTTCTACTTTGGTGACAGAATTGCATGGCAATGTCAAATGGTAGAGGCAAGATCACCATGTGCTAAACCTAATGTTATCTATGGGCTTAGCAGTGGGATAGCTCCCAGTTTGTATCCAACACTAGATACACCTTTGTTTATACCTTACTGCATTATTGACTGTTTTAGGTAAGAATGGTCTCAGTAATTCATGTCAATATGGACCAAAATCTCAGAAGAATGTTTCCAACACCTTGTTGTATCTATGCTACAAAAGAATTCAGGCAGTTCTGAAGGCAAAAAGGGGGTCCAACCAGGTACTAGCAAGGTGTACCTGAGAAAGTGGCTGGTGAGTGTAGGTGTAATATTATTATTATTCAGGATTTATATGGCGTCAACAGTTTGCTCAGCACTTTACAATATAACGGGAGACAATACAGCAACAATACAGTTCAATACAAGAGGGTTAGGAGGGCCCTGCTCCTTGGAGCTTACAATCTAGTATATACTACTATTGCACCATGTGAGGAGTCATATGTTAGACTTTATGGCTTTTTTCTTTATTTATTTACTTTGTTTGGTTTTGTTGAATGTAAAGCGCTAAAACCTTCAATAAAAATTTATTTTGAAAAAAAAAATGACTTGTTCATCTAAGACTCCTTTCCACAGGATTACAGCACTGCTGTGCAATTTCTGGTAGGAGCAACATGTAATACAACTAGGTTCCAGGGAGACTCAGAAAAGAAAAACCATGCATCATGTCATTTATATTGCCGTTACAGTAGCTCCACTTTAATCTTTAATAGTAACTATTTTTCAGGATGCCTCCATGGCAGCCAACAGCTGAAAGGTCATTCCTATCTATCTTTATGGACAGGAAATACAGTCAGGTCCATAAATATTGGGACATCGACACAATTCTAACATTTTTGGCTCTATACACCACCACAATGGATTTGAAATGAAACAAACAAGATGTGCTTTAACTGCAGACTGGCAGCTTTAATTTGAGGGTATTTACATCCAAATCAGGTGAACGGTGTTGGAATTACAACACTTTGCATGTGTGCCTCCCACTTCTTAAGGGACCAAAAGTAATGGGACAGAATAATAATCATAAATCAAACTTTCACTTTTAAATACTTGGTTGCAAATCCTTTGCAGTCAATTACAGCCTGAAGTCTGGAACGCATAGACATCACCAGACGCTGGGTTTCATCCCTGGTGATGCTCTGCCAGGCCTCTACTGCAACTGTCTTCAGTTCCTGCTTGTTCTTGGGGAATTTTCCCTTCAGTTTTGTCTTCAGCAAGTGAAATGCATGCTCAATCGGATTCAGGTCAGGTGATTGACTTGGCCATTGCATAACATTCCACTTCTTTCCCTTAAAAAACTCTTTGGTTGCTTTTGCAGTATGCTTTGGGTCATTGTCCATCTGCACTGTGAAGCGGCGTCCAATGAGTTCTGAAGCATTTGGCAGAATATGAGCAGATATTGCCCGAAACACTTCAGAATTCATCCTGCTGCTTTTGTCAGCAGTCACATCATCAATAAATACAAGAGAACCAGTTCCATTGGCAGCCATACATGCCCACGCCATGACACTACCACCACCATGCTTCACTGATGAAGTGGTATGCTTAGGATCATGAGCAGTTCCTTTCCTTCTCCATACTCTTCTCTTCCCATCACTCTGGTACAAGTTGATCTTGGTCTCATCTGTCCATAGGATGTTGTTCCAGAACTGTGAAGGCTTTCTTAGATGTCGTTTGGCAAACTCTAATCTGGCCTTCCTGTTTTTGAGGCTCACCAATGGTTTCCATCTTGTGGTGAACCCTCTGTATTCACTCTGGTGAAGTCTTCTCTTGATTGTTGACTTTGACACACATACACCTACCTCCTGGAGAGTGTTCTTGATCTGGCCAACTGTTGTGAAGGGTGTTTTCTTCACCAGGGAAAGAATTCTTCGGTCATCCACCACAGTTGTTTTCCGTGGTCTTCCGGGTCTTTTGGTGTTGCTGAGCTCACCGGTGCATTCCTTCTTTTTAAGAATGTTCCAAACAGTTGTTTTGGCCACGCCTAATGTTTTTGCTATCTCTCTGATGGGTTTGTTTTGTTTTTTTCAGCCTAATGATGGCTTGCTTCACTGATGGTGACAGCACTTTGGATCTCATCTTGAGAGTTGACAGCAACAGATTCCAAATGCAAATAGCACACTTGAAATGAACTCTGGAACTTTTATCTGCTCATTGTAATTGGGATAATGAGGGAATAACACACACCTGGCCATGGAACAGCTAAGAAGCCAATTGTCCCATTACTTTTGGTCCCTTAATAAGTGGGAGGCACATATGCAAACTGTTGTAATTCCTACACCGTTCACCTGATTTGGATGTAAATACCCTCAAATTAAAGCTGACAGTCTGCAGTTAAATTACATCTTGTTTGTTTCATTTCAAATCCATTGTGGTGGTGTATAGAGCCAAAAATGTTAGAATTGTGTCGATGTCCCAATATTTATGGACCTGACTGTAGATAGTTCTAGAAGATAGCCTTACTACTTCCATACCTAGATCACAGCATGTGTCTGTCTGTATCATGTCCCCTTCATCACACCCTGTGGAGAGAGGACAGCCAGGTCACAGAGGAAGAGACAAGAGTGGGGGCAATAAAGCTGGGACTCAGAATAGAAGACTTACATGGCACAGTGAACTCTTGCACCTTGGAATTATCTCCTCCTTGTCTGGGTAGGTGCTGCACAGTCACAATGTAAGTATGGCCTGGAATTACTTCAAAGTTGTTGTAGTAAAACTGCCACTGGAATGATGGAATAAATGACAAATTACTATACATAGGTACAACATACAGTATATTCAACTGCTGATCAGCAAAAAAACAAAAAACAAAAAAGGTCCCCTAGCAGGCTCATGTCATAACGTGCTAGTATACAGAATATTATGACAGACTTACTTAAGAAATAGATCCCTCCAGCGGCGCATCTTCACCTGGTCTTCCTTACAGGTTTGTGGGCTCAAGCTGTTTGAATGGCTGGTCCCCAATGACGTCACTCACGCACATGTGATGTCACCAGCTTCCACTTCTACGTATAAATATCCCCTAAATGGTGCACATTTAGGAGATATTTACTGTACCCAAAGTTAAGACTTACTAAAGGCTTACCTGAAGGTACAAAACAACAAAAGGGAGATTACTACCACTTTAATTGTTTTTTTTCTTTTTTTTTTATTCAGCCAGCAGGCCAAATTAGAAAAAAAAACTAATGGATTTCCTCATCCATACAAGCCGGACAGCAGAATTCTTCCACTGTGAGAATACACTGGCTGGACTGTGTAGTCCAATCCAATAGAAGAGATACTGTAGCTCAAATTGCTGAAAAAGTTAATGCTGGTTCCGATAGGTGTCAGAACACACGGTGCATCGTAGTTTATTGCGTATAGGGCTAAGCAGCTGCAGACCGGTCTAGGCGCCCATGCTGACCTGTGTCCACAGCTGATAGTGCCTATAATGGAAATGCAAGCATCAAAATTGGACTACGGAGCAATGGCAGAAGGTGGCCTGGTCTGATGAATTCAAGAACGGTTTCAGGAACATAAGTTCAAGGTGTCGACTTGGTTTCCAAGTTCACCAGATCTTAATCCAATCAAGCATCTGTGGATTGTGCTAGAAAAACAAGACCAATCCATGGAGGCCCTACCACACAATTTACAGGACTTGCCAGCTTGGTGTCAGATATCACCGCACACCTTCAGAGGTCTAGTGGAGTCCATGCCTCGACAGGTTATGGTGGGTGGTCATAATGTTCAGATTGATCGGCTTATATTTGGTATGGACTTACCTTTTAGAAGAAAAGAGCATACGTAGGAAATAGGACATATGAAAGAAAGAGGTCAGAATATTTTATGGTGGAGTCACCCCCTGGCCATATTGGGATATCAAAATTAGAAATACTTGGCAGCTACATTTTAACTATGTGTTCATCTGTTTGGTTAATTCACCTTTATTTTACAGACTTTTTTTATTCCAAACTTCCTCTGGTTTGAATGGGGTGGCCCACTAACATTCATTCACTTACCGGTTGCCCATTTGGATTGCGCTGTGAGGGGAATGTATTATTGAACTGGTATTGGATGCAGCGAGTCACTTGGGTGGAGCGTTCTACCACGGTGATCTCCACCCCTTGTAGCTCCAGGATGCTGGCTGTGACAGATAAAGGACAGCAGAAATCACATAACTGAAGTCTTCAAAATAGAATAAATATTTAAAAATTGCACATACACATAAGGCCTAACCCCAGCCATTTGTTTTCAATTTTGGTGAGACCCATATACATGAAATGAAGGGAATGGTTGTCACTGGAACAGGAACGCATAGGCAGAAGTAAACACACTCTCTGAAGTTCTAAACCCTACCCTGCTCCACTAAAAACAAAACGAGTCTTAATATTTTAAGAAATTGAATGCTATCTTTAGTCCCAAATCTCTGGGTCCACTTCATTGCTGCCCAACTCCAACATATGGCTGGCTGAGAACATTGCAGCCTGCCTACATGCTCATTCAGAATGCTCTCTGTAGTACTCCGGAACAGCACCCCACTCAGGGCCTTCTTTAACATGGGGCAAAAAGGGGCAGCTGCCCCAGGCCCAGTCATTGTTGTGGGGCCCAAAGCAGCTGCCTCTTGACCCCCTTGTCTTGGAGGGTCCCAGTCCCGGCAGGAGCAGTGGGAGGGAGAGCATCGAGGGTAGCTAGGATTGAGCGAATGGGAAGACTTCCAAAAAGGCGAGCAGAAATGGGCCAGCATCCCCGACGGTGGCGCCTCCCAGAGGATGGACTTCTCTAACCTCCCAGCTCATGGCTCCAACAACTGGAGGACAGGCTGACCAGGGGTCCAGAGGACAAGGATGGGCGGGAGCGCAGATAGCCAAGGACCAGCAGAGCAGAGGAAGGTTCAGATCACCCAGAATGAGAACGGACTCAGACCGCTGCTGTCATGCCAGGTTCAAGGCATCACACACACCTACTGGCAGACAGGGACTGGGAAAGGAAGGCACAGGAGGAACTGTAGATAGGGCTAGATGTCTCTCTCTCATCCTCCCCCTCTCTCCCACACTCCTCTCCCTCTCCTCTCACCCCCTTCTCTCCCTCACCCCCCCCCCACCTTTCTACCTCACCCCCCCTCTCTCTCACACCTTCATCCCTCTTTCTCACACACTCCCCCTCTCTCCCCCCCTTCTCTCATTCCCCTTTCCTCCCCCTCTCTCTCACCCCCCATCCTTCTCTCTCTCCGCCCCTCACTCCCCACCCCTCTCTCACACACCCCCTCTCTCTTGCCCACCCCACTCTCCCCTCCCTGTCTCTCCCCTCTCTCACACCCCCCACCCCTTCTCCCTCCTCTCTCGCTCCCCTTTCTCTCACCTCCACCCCTCTCTCTCTCTCATACCCTCTCCCCTATTCTCCCAACCTCTCTCACCTCCCCCTCTCTCTCACCCGCACCCCCCTCTCTCACTCCCTTCTCTCACCTCCTCTCTCATCCCCCTTTCTCTCCCTTTCTCACCCCCTCCCTTTTTCACCCGCTCTCCTTTATCGTCCCCTTCACTCACCCCCCACCCCTCTCTCTCCCCCCCCTTCTCTCTTTCCATTCGGTCTCTCGCCCCCCTTTCTCTAATCCCCCCTCTTTCTCTCATCCCCATACCATCCAATGAACAGCCCTCCATCAAGAAGTAGAATTCTCAGCTTCTGCAGCAAGGCCACTTCTCATCCATCCAAGGGAGGGGACACCCCTCCTTAAGACAAACAAACAGGAACAGAGCTGAGGCTTTTAATCACTGACTGTGTGCTGGAGTTCCCTCCACTATCACCGTTTTATCTCTTGGTAGAGGAATACCGGTCAGAAGTAACTCATGCAGGTATCAGGTGAATGAGACAGCAGACAGAAATGACACTTAGTGCTCTGGATTGAGACAAGTAAACACTATAGAAGGATATGCTTTGTTTATATTCATTTCAGAGGTTTACAACCAATTTAAGGTAGGGCTATGGAACAAAAATCAGACCTGAGCTTTTTTTTTCTTCAACAGGACACGCCACACTGCATAATAATTGCCATGTCTTGAGGGGACCTGGGGTGAATTACATGTAATTTCCTGTGCATTACCAGGACGAATAAGTATGAAGAGGGCCTTAGGCTCAGTTCACACTAGCTTTGTCAGCAGGTGTCAGACAGGTGTTTGGGAAATGTTTTTAACGCTTCTCAAACGCATATGAAAATTCTGCACATGGCAGCACACATTAGTTTAGGTTATGGTAGTAGCAGGAAATATAAAGCTAAATTTAATTAACAAATATTTTGACAATAAAAAAAAATCAGGAGCTGTCCATTACTATTTACCACCAAATGAAAGCCCAATTTGTCCTGAAAAAAACAAGGTGTAATCCACCCAGATGTACAAAGTAGTTGTGATGATATGTACAGTTTTACTAACACATGTCACAGTTCCAAATTTTGCTTAGGCATTAACATTTGTTTTACCATTAGGCATGAAGGGGTTAATATTTCACTTACCATCAACACTGACAGTCCAGTTTATATGAAGACGTACCACTGTACGACCCAACTCATTCTGCCCGATTCCCGTCGTGACTACCATATTCGATGGGGCCGTCGGAGTCCAACTGTAGCGCCGGAACCAGTTAAAGTCGAGGCAGGAATCTGATAGTAAAGATGGGATAAACTGAAGCCAAGGGCAGAGCCATTAAGAATCACAATGCGTCCTCACTGCAACAACATTATTGAGCACAAAGTGAAATTTTCCCTTGGCTAACCTGAACTGAAAAATATTTGCTATCATTACAGTTCATCCCTGACCTTTCCATAATCTCAGTGTTTAGTAATCCCCATCAAGTAGCCAAGGAAGACTTAGAAAGCCATCCACTCAAATGTGTTTTAGCTTTATTTATGACCAGCTTAAGGTATATCTTCACCCAAGACTTTTTTCCCATTGATTAGGGAAGTGTTTTGGCTTCAGATACCATTCAATATAAATAATAAAGTCAACAATCTTCTAAGTACCTAAAAACCCTGTGGAATTTGTAATTGTAGATGTTCATAGGAGTAGCCATATTTAATACATTTACATGTTCCTCCAAAATTTACAAAATCTTATTTCTCAGACTCTAGATTCAATGAAGGTTTGTGGTAATGTGATTGAACTAAAGTTTTCCCACCCACAGGCTGGAATATAATACATCTATAGGTATCTTAGCCTGTGTGTGACGCCATCTACTGAACAAAATGGATATAAAACATCATATAATATCAAGTAGACAAAGTTAAAGTTGCACTAAATGATGTCCTTATTTTTCACAAGTAATCTATAAACTTGTACTACTTAATTGCCCTGTGATCTATGTGAAAGTATTTCTTAATGTGCTTTTTCTGCCTCCTTGTAACGTCCTCTGTGAGCTCCCAAACCTCCCATTCCCCCTCACTTCTGTTTGTGTGCACACTACAAATCCCATCTCAGAAGAGAGCAACAGAGAGTGTGGCTATGTTTCTATATACAGTGAGACCATGGAAAGCAAATGTAGCCAGGAAGTCAAATCACAACAGCAAAAAAAAAAAAAAAAAAAGGATATGGAGGAGGCTGAGAGCAATAAGTCTAGTAAGGATTCATACCTAAATGTAATATTTTTTTAAACCAGAGATTAGTGTCATTTTAAAAGTTACAACAAAATCACAAGCACCAAGGAAAACTTGTGCTCAGGCAGCACATACATGTATGTAGGCTCACGTAGCTGGCTGTCTAGAACTTCTCAGGAATCGTCATATAAAAATGTCACAAGTGTGACGAACACTTACTGTTCTTTATGGTGCACTGCATACCCTGCAAGAAACAGAAGAGGCAGAATATTAGACATTGTACTGATGATTTTGCCCAAAACAATTTGCTTCCAAGCTTTACATAAAAATTTGTTTGTTGGAGCTCTCAATGGGGTCATGTGATACTATCAATCAATCGCTGGGGACAACTCACCAGTGACAGGATCATTAGGACAGTACTTACCTTCCCGCTGGCTGAACCAATGACATGCGCTCTGTCACGGCTCCCTTGTTGACAAATGAGGTGCTGCAGTACATCAGGCACAGAGATAGTGACCTCCATTATGGAAGGTGCACCTTAGAGATGCATTTCCAGGGGCAGAGTGCCCTGTGTGACATGCCCCTTGTCTGATAATGCTCACCCTACTCTGCCATTTGCCCCTCATAAAGATATTTGAAGTTATGTAAGTTTATTATGCTGCCAATCTAGGCACTGGCATTGGGGCTGCAGAAGGAGATGAAGCCCAACTCTAATACATCCTGCTGTTAAAGATAATGCTCCTCCTTCAGATATTGAGGCACGGACAGTGGGGTGAAAGCAGAAGCCATGAGCTCTGACCCACATGAAAGATGATATTTGCAACTCCCATGTGCCTCGGGACCTTTGGTGCCTTATAGCACTCCAATATGGCGGTTTGTACTATGTTTTAGGGACAGGTTATCTTTAAAGCCCAACTCTAGACGGAGATGAAGGAACTTGCACATGCAGTAATTCCATTCTGCCCCTAGATGTCTTCAGTTTCCCAGGCTGAATGACGCTCTGCTTCAATCAGCCTGGAAGACTGAGGACATACTGTGAGTGCAGGGTGTCAAGGAACTGCCCCCAAGGACCCTGAAAACATAATTTGACTGACCTCATGACTTCAGGAAAAAAGTAATGATAAAATAAGAAGCAAAAAGTACATCAGAGTGCCTTCAGAGGGAAGTCAGTGGAGGAAGGGAAGGGGGGGAGTGGAGTCCATATTAGAGCTTTAAAAGCACAGTACAAAGAGTAGTAATGACAATTATGAGGTGTAGAACACAGTAATCCACAACAAATGATTTCACCATTCACGGACCGAATGCAGTCGGAACAATAAAATTTGATTTCTGACTGATAACTGTGGGTGGCGATACATTGCGCACTCCCTGTACGTCTGAAACACAAGAAGTATGAACATACTGCAAGCGTTGCGTGTCGTAATCAACAGCTGAGGGCGGATTACATCACAGACCAGACAGGAAACAACTGATAGCGGATGTACTACACAGACAGAGATCGACTTTACTGATCAGAGATTCCATATCGTCTGACACCAAAAGCTTTATGTATCATCTAAAACAGAAAATTCACTCAATATTATGTAATAAAAACAAAAAAGCCTGGGCATTAAAAACTGAAATAGCCACATAAAGGGTTGAACTGTTCATATAGGGCACATCTGCAGGGGTTAGACAAAAAAAATGGAAACACTACATGGCTAGCAGGTGTGAAACTGACAACATGTTCCACGTTGAAAGTGGAAGTGATATAACATTTTTTTTGCTTCCGCTGTGTGATGAGACACCTCACTAACAGGTGGGAAGCCTCATTTTCGTCATTCACTGTGTCTACTGCTAGTAATATGGAGTCATGTCAGAGCTTACTGAGCTTCAAAATGAGCAAATTGTTGGTGCCGCTTAGCTGGTGCTTCTGTGACTGAAGTTGTTAATTTATTTTATTTATGTTGATTTATTTGTGTCACGAGGTACAGTATCAAAGGTTATGACGGCATATACAGTTTCCGGGAAAACGACATCTGATAAGCATAAGCGCGGTAAACACGGTCAACTGACTGAAAGAGACAAAAAGACATTGCGCAGGACTGTGACCTGGAATAAGAAAACAACTGCTGCAAAAGTGACTGCAGAGCTCAATCTCAGTCCCATGAAGACTGAGTGGAAAACTGTTCTGTGGTCAGAGGAAGCAAAATTTGACATTCTTTTTGGCAACCATGGACGCCGAATCCTCTGGACAAAAAGAGAAGAGGAACCTTTCAGCTTGTTATTAGTGCTCAGTTCAAAAGTGCATCTCTCTGGTCAGGACAACTCTGCATCTGTCCCCCGCTGATCGCTCAGTTCCCCCTGCTGCTCTGAGAGTCTGCTCTGTCCCCCACCCCAGAGCTCACTAGAGTGCTGGACTGTGGAGGGGAGGGAGCAGCTGGCTCAGGCTATCAGCGGCTTGTTGAGCAGCTGAGCCAAGTGGCATTCCAGATATCTGGGTGGATTCTGACTTTAAAGTTGGGATCTTTCCCAGCCTGGATTGGCTGAGTGACATCAGCCATCAGCGGATTTTAGCCCGCTGTCAACTGAAAACAAGTCACAGGAGTGCAGGATGCAGCTGACAGGCATTCAGAAGGTGATACTGCCACCACTTGAATGCCATTTTTTTTTAGCTTCTGAATGGGCTGTTTGATTGGAAATATTGTGGCACAACTTCAAACCCAGCATTTGGCTCATGGTGCAGTGCGGCGTCATTCATTGGAATATGTCGCATTTGGTGGCAGCACTGACAGCCAAATGCAACTGCTAGCAAGGTGTACAACCACCAAGAGGGGGTGGTTTGGGGTTAACATGGCTCAACCACCTATTTTTACTGCTCTACAACTGCAAGTGTAAACTAAGCCTTCAAGTAATTGTTAAGGTCCCCTAAGCATAAATGAGCAGTTCATGTATAACTAAAGGCATATTTTGGAGTTTTGGATAGAGTGGAGATGGATTGTTACTACTCTGTGTCCCCATTTGGAAGATTCACCCTCTCAGTTTGTCCTGTTTACCATTTTCACCAGGATGAAAGAAAATCTCGCTTTGAAGGGATTTCCTCTAGCTCCCTGTTTTGGCAATGGGACAAGAAGTGAAGGGAAATTACTCCAGTAGGACACGGATGGCAAATAAAAACCTGTGAGGGGATAAACCCTCCCGTACTCTATCCAAAATGAAAACAAAAAAAGTTTTCCCTTTAACCTTTGCAGGGCAGGTGCAGCTCCAATACACGGGAGAACATTTTAGTTTATCAGAGTTTAGCTTTAAGACAGGGCACCCCAACACAAACTCATGCATGGGTGTGGAGGGGCCCATAGGGTCATGTGACATGAGGCATTCTATTAGAGGTGACAACTCCCCAGTTATCACTAAGAGACCCCATTTCTTCTCCTAGGGGTCCCTTCCGCATTGGACAAACCAGCACCACATGATTCTCTGTCAATGTTCTCTCTCTAGAGCGTGAGGTTCTTCAGGGGTTTGGTCAGTGAGGGTGTGACATCAGGATGCTGTCAGCTGAAGAATCACCAGTGTGACATGACCCTAAACCTATCTGTACAACAACCGATATATCGTGTTCAGTGCTATAGCCCCTGTATGTCTGCGCTGCCAGGTATTGCTTCCCCACCAGCAGTACATGTACCCAGATTCAGGCAGTTCTGCTACCTATGAGAAAATTCATCAACCGCCTGAAATTTGAGAAATATGGCCCTTTCACACGGATCAGTTTTTGCTGCACTTTTTATTCTGATTCCAACTGTTGTATTAGTGACTTATCCCTTGCTGAGACCTCTATGCCTGACCTGCATAAGCAGATACAATCACTGCAGACAGTCTTTATCAGATCGCTGAACTCACCAAATACCTTTTCTCACCCACGAAGATCTTTTATTATTATAATACAGGATTTATATAGCGCCAACAGTTTGCTCAGCGCTTCATAAAATGAAGGTAGACATTACAGTTAATACAATTTGGTACAAGAGGAAACAAAGGGCCTGGCTCGCTAGAGCTTACAATCTAGGAATTGTATTGAATACAGCAAGTTAACATCAGACAACAGGATGGTATTTACAGGTCAAAACATAGTAACTAATGTGTTTCATAAAAAAGAAAAAAAAAAAAGAAAATAGCCTACACACCTAAAAGGCTAACCTCAAAAACATGTTTATTCATGAAAAAGATGCAAAGCAAAAACATTGCATCAGGGACCTAGTGATCACTCCCAACCGTAACCCCCCCCCCCCCACCCCCTAACATGGGGGAGAGCTCCAACAATGCACACTCTATAGATGGTACCAAAGAGTGTTCCCTGTGTGAGAACAGCATCCGCACCTCCCCAAAAAGCCAACTCACCTCCCCCAACACCACAACCACCTCTCAACAATCCCCCCAATAACAAACAAAACAAAAACCCCAAAAAATGCCTCCCAAAATACCCCAATCCTCCTTCCGCAATACCCTCCCAGACCCAACCACCCCGTCCCAAGAAGGAACCTGAGGTGTAACACTCGCCCCTATAGCCCCTCTACCCCCCAGACCCTAGATAGCACCCTACCAGATAGTTCTGGAGTCACCTCATCTTTACATTGAATTTCAGGGGACTCCCCAGCTTTCCTCTGCCCCTCTGTTTTGCACTGGTAATGTGTTCCCCCATATGAGCAGATTAACATGTGGCCATAAGACTAGCAGCCATTTTTTATCCCTTGAAGCAATGTGAGAAGGAAGGGGAATACACCATAACATAGGGGAAGGGGGGGAACAGAAAAAAATGGTGCAATAACCATAATGACCACAAGAGGGCAATATATTATCCAACCATACTGATGTTACTAAACCCATGACCCTGCATTCACTATGTCTGATCTCCCAGGACCCTGCATTCACTATGTCTGATCTCCCCGGACCCTGCATTCACTATATCTGATCTCCCCGGACCCTGCATTCACTATATGATCTGATCTCACTATATCTGATCTGACCCCCACTATATCTTGATATCCCCGAGACCCAGCATTCACTATATGATCTGATCTCCCCGGACCCAGCATTCACTATATCTGATCTCCCCGGACCCAGCATTCACTATATCTGACTCCCCGGACCCAGCATTCACTATATCTGATCTCCCCGGATCTCCCCGGACCCTGCATTCACTATATCTGATCTCCCCGGACCAAGAATTCACTATATCTGATCTCCCCGGACCCAGCATTCACTATATCT